ATATTTTATATAATAAAGGAATAAAAAAATTTAACACCAACAATTGAAAAAATAAACTCACTTTTTGTTAATCAACTAATTAATAGCTATATAGAGATTTATTTGATATTTATTTAAGAAATACAGAAAGTTTTGTTGCTAATCTTGACTTTTTTCAATATGAAATAAATCATTATTTTATTTTATTGAACAAAGATTACAACAACTTGAAGTATGAATAATTGCAGGAACAATGACAACTAATTTTAGACCAACTGTAGATAGTGTTACAAAAATTAACACTTTATTAACATCTTTTGTTTCAGTATTTTAGCAAGTATTTAATGCTGCTTATAAAAAACTTCAAGATCATATTTTGCAACATCCTGCATGTTCTTTATTTAAAGCAATTCAGGTTTTTGATTTTGGTTTTTAATATTAACAACTGCTAATTGGATATTTATTTCTATTGAATTATTAAAGAGCTAGTTAATCTTTCACTATCTCTTACTCATGAATGGGCAATTTATTGCAATATTAATTTGGGTTTTATAGAATTTACAAATCTTTGATATGTTTCAGAAAAAGGTTTCTTTGCAAGTTCCACTTTTAGAAAAAAGTTGCCTGCTTCTATATTCTGTACAGTAGAATAAAGTTTTTTAGCATACAATAAAATTTTAAATGATGATAAGCACAATTTAAGTGCTGAATCACTTAAATTTCTTACAATGCATATTTTAATAATCAAATTAGAAATTTGGTACATTTTTTATTATATAGTGATTTTGATTTAGTAAAAAACATTTTTGCTATCCAGATTACTGTATTATCTACTTTTGGTCTAAAAAGGAAATCTGCAATATTACAAGGTTAAAAGCATAGTATAGTCTATTCTCTTGTTGCTTATACAAAATAAATTTTTTGCTAATTAAAACTTAAATATTATATCACGTGTTAATCTAGTAATCGAATTATTATCAAAGTAAAATGGAATGATTGATGTTGTGATAAAAATTTCATTATTTAAGAATAGAAGTAGTTACTGTCCCTGATAATCGATGAGAATTTCTGTGATTCTAGTTTTTCTATTGATTAGTCTTATTTTTTAACCTATTTACATCTTCGTAAGATTCGAGATTTTACATCTGCAGAGGTCACGCTTTTTTTACAAACCACAATAATGTATTGTCGCGAATATATTCTTTCGAGATTTCAAGTGTCGAAATCTAGTACCATCTTGATTTAGTTTTTCAAATTTTAAACGATTCCCTATAAATGAATATTCTATAAATGCACTTTTACCTAACGTGCGGAAGGCTGATTGTATTGGATTTGGAAAATCTACTCTTGTTTAGAAATAACGCACATGGGCGTATTCGAATAACGCGCAGCAATTTAGCTTCAACTATATTTATAATTATCTGCATTGAATATAAAAATTAAATAATTGTAAGAGTTTTTTTCTATAAAAAAATCTAAAAATAGAATATCGATTATGCACCAATTAAGTAAAAATTGGAAAGTTTAATTCGGATGGCAAATTTGACCTGAATTGATTTTTACTATTGCTCACCTATCAAATAAATTTTTTAGGTACAACTCACTCTTGTTATAGTAAAGGTTCTATACAGTGAAGAATTTTTGAATTCCAGAATTATTTAACTTCAGCTCGATATAGTGAAGTAAATATCAGGCAACGCAAAGTGGATTTTTCGGTTTGCATTACCCGCCGTCCCATTTTTTTTAATTTTTTAATTTTTTATTTTTTCCCGCTATTTTCATCCGGTATCACCCGGCGGAGACCTTGATTTCCCGTAATTGTCCGATGGGACTGCAGAAAAATATGACTGCTGGCCCAATTTTTTGATTCCTTGTTGTGCAAATATAACCTTAAATGTGATCATTATTCTATTTGCAGTAAATTGAATTAAAAAAAAAATCTGTCCGTCCGTCCCTAATTTTGAAAACCATGTAATGCAAAACGAAAAATCAACTTTGCGTGGCCTAATATTCTCTCTAAATAAGCTACAGTGAAAATTTTTTTTCAGCCCGGGGACTTGACTATAACGAGAGTAGGTTGTAGATAGAATCATTGTATTTATTCTACACGAGTAATCTGAAGACTATTCCGCTGGTAACTCAAGTTGGGATTTTTGGACGAATAGGTTCATTAAGCCATTATTCATGTTTAATTTTATATTCATACTTATATTATATGTATGTAGAATAATTGAAATATTTAAGATAAGGTAGCTGCGCGTCAAACCAGGAACGGATTAATTGGTTTCAAAGTTCTGAAAATTTAAAATTTATAATTGATAAATTATTTACGTATTTTGAAATTTTAAAATTTTAACAACTTAATATTTATAGTCGATAAATTTATTATAGAATTCATATACTGTATGCATATATAGTTTGTCATTAGGTATTCATAAAATTTTGAATGCTATAAAATTAGTACAGTAAACTATATCACGGTAATGTCTCTATAATTCCGTATTACAATATTGCCTTATTGCCACAACATCTATTAACCTTGCTTCTATTAAATTGTTAAATTTATTAAATAAAGTATGCTACAGAAGTATTTAGAATTAACATCAACAAATGAGTGTCGCCAAAAGAAAACCCGACAATTTAAATATAGTCTATATTTAAATTGTCGGGTTTACTTTTGGCGACACTCAAATGTATCAGCATTCTCAAATTAATAAATTTCCGATATTTTTGTCGCGTACTTTAAATAAAAAATACTCAAAATAATAGCTCAATCCAAAAATATCAGCTACGTACAGTACGTACGTACGTACCCAGTAGGGCCGTGAAAGGTGCACAAATTGAATTTCGGATCAGATGTAACGTGAAATCACGTTTCTTTTAAAAAACTGATGATAACTCAATATTTTGTCTATGAGACCGTCTTCTACGCATTAATAAAAAAATTCTCTCGCAAAATTTTAGTATATTATGAGTCCTCTTTTAATCTCCAACGTAAGGTTTCATTACTTTAAAAATATTGCGTATATTTGATTATTTTGATTGGTGTCATCTATTGGCATTTCTTACGGTCCTACTTGGGCAGCCGAAAATACCTATAAAATAGAAAAGGAAAGATCTAAGATATTATCGTTATTGACCAATCCAAATACACGGATCGCAGGCACATATGACTGTAATCCATTTTAATCATTTGGTTTCTGTGAAAATCCATTCCTGGTAAATAAGTAAAACAGCGTTAATTGATAATTAAATGCTAAAAATGGTAAGTGGCCGTTTTATGAATAAATTTAGTAAATTTGATATAATGTAATGCAATGCGTGTGAACCAGTCAAAAGCACAGGAATACGTAGTACGTACGTACAGAAACGCTTAATACATCATATGAGTGCTGCCAAGGGAAAACCTGTCATCGGACTTTTTCAATAATATTTTGCCGTTTATGGAAAGTCTATCATCATAATAAATTTTCGAAAGTCCGATGACAGATTCTCCCTTGGCGATACTGTACTCATATAATATAACCGTCCGCTTCGTTGCACACCGTTCCTGGTATAAGCTTATCAGCTCTTATTTTTCATACTATCTAGTTTAATATGTAAGTGTAACTGTTGTTTAATCAAATTATTTAAGACAAACTATTCACTTCTCATAATCTCTTTTTATTCGTGTTAATTTAGTATACGTAATGATCATTTATCAAGCAAGAAATTTGATATAAGCTTACATTCTTTGTTAAATTTTTTCTTTCACATTGATTCGTTGACGAGGAATAATGAACACACAGTATACCTACCAAAACGTCTCATTCAATTTCTTGTGCATAATGATCTCGATCGTCTAATATCTTAATCGCATCAATTTAAACTTTTTGTTCGACATTTGAGAAAACTATTCATCTTATTTGATCTTTATTCGCATTAATAATTTAATCATTTTGAGAAATTCTGGCCAAACGTTAGTAACTTAGGATATATACTGCAATAAAAATTACTCAATCTTTAACAACGATTCTAACTTTGCCAATAAACCTTGAAATTACTTTCTTTGTCTTATCGTTATTGTAAAATGCTTATTACGGCGATTAATCTGCAATATGATTCTCATAACAAACAACTTTGTATTTTTTGGTAAAAATTAAATAATTGAGAAATTTTATGCATTGATTTAATCTACATATTTAGTTAGTCTCACCGCATAATGACATAATGATGATCACTAATAAAGATTTTTATACGTAATCATAGTATAATAGTAAAAATTTCTCTTGAACCAGTGAATATATACAAGTGAAGTTACATTTGTTAAATTTTTACTAATACGCTTTTTGAAGTAACAAAGCTCTCTTTTTTATTTTTTTGATATAAAGAAAATTGGTTAGTCATGATAAAAGAGCATATTAAGGGATTCTAATAATAGAATTTTATTCACTGGTCCAAGAAAAATTGCAATTTGAATTTTATAGGTTTTATTATTACAATCGCTATGATTAAAAAAATCCTCGCGTATGTTCATTATTTTGAAATAATAGGCAATTTTTTGACACAGAGTTGACACTTACTTATGTGATTGGCTAATTTACATAGATCTAAAATACTATTAACCAATTAAATCAAAAAATTCAAAATGTCCTTGTATAGAATGCGCATTATTTCTGGGACGCACATACATTAAACTTTATTACGAAATTATTCTACCATTTTTAGAGAACACGGTTTTTCTAAACAACGCCTACGAGTGTTATTTTGTAAAAAATACGTAAAAAAAACAAGTACAAATGCAAAATCTTTAATTACAATTAACGTAGCGATGCAAATAACAACGCAATTAATTTCACTTGTACTTCTAACGAAAAATATAAATATTCGCCATATTTTTACCTGTCTCAATCCGTCCTCAGCTTCCTAAAAAATATAAAGATTCAATATATTCTAATCCATTGAAATCCGTCTTCATTCCTTCTAAAAATTATAATCATACCTATTTTTACTTTTTCAACTTTTTCGAAATTATCACGATGATGTCAAAATTAGTATTTTTCGTTTTGGCCTTAATCGCCATTATCGCCATGCCTACTTTTGCTGCTCCTACTTTGACTACTTTGCCGCTTAATACTGGAAGTGGAGTTGCAGGTAAAATCTTATTATCATTTGTTTGAAATTCAATTTTCTTTTTTATAAACTTGCTAATCTATTTTTTATTTTTTATTATCAAGGTAATAAACCTGAAACAGCAGGTAGTGTGGAAACTTGTGTTACGAATGGTAATCAATGCGATCCAACTGTCCCGAACCCATGTTGTAACAATTTAGTTTGCATCGGAATCAGTGCAAATGGCTCCCCCGCTCAATGTGTTCCCATCTAATTTGAAATTTTTAATATTCATAACAATACCAAATTATTGTATCATGTTCCTACTTATAAATTTAATCTATTACATCTCTATATAATATAATGCAATCATTATTTTATTCAAGTATTTCGAAAATTTTAATATCAGATTATTGTATCATGTTCTATTCATAGATTTTCATTTTTTATATTCATTAGATAGCTCTCATGATCTTTAGGCTTGTCGCTTTTCACTCTTTTCACTTATAACTTAATAAAAATAAGTCAAAACAAGACTATCTGAGCCAACTACATAGTTTTTAATAAATGTCTATTAATAACGATTCTAATTAAATAATGCTTTGATAATACATGACTAATTATAAAAGTTTATATTAAACGCATAATATGTGCAATCTGATTTTGTTAGTTAATGTTGGCAAATTTCAAAAGTATTGATTATTTTCTTTAAGTCTTTTCATACGGTATTTTGATATTGAAGCCCCTTAATTTCTATAATTAAAAAATGTTAAACCATTAATGAAGTGAAATTGATACTTAAAGTATATACGATTGAATAACAAACTTGGCCGATGACCTAATCATATCTTTTTTTTTTTATGATCTTAGTTATACATATTGGTCATGTTAAATGCTATTAATAAAAAAAAATTTTTATTATGATTCTTACTACAGTGAAACCTCTCTAAGTGCACGCACTTGGGACCAGGCTTTAACAATATGCACTTAGAGAAAAAGTACATTTATGTATAGTGTGCATTTGAAAAGTTTACTGTATATTAAAAGGTCATAAAGTCATGTCAACTTTTTTTATTACCAAATGATCTATGGCAGGTCATTAAGGTCATCGGCCAACACTGAATGACAAGGATTACAGTATAATCACATTTTTTTAATTCAAAATTGCTTATCAGCATTTATCAAAATCTGCTGTGATTCTACAATAATGTTCTTGAATATGTTATCGAAATTAGGACTGTTAATCGGCCCGTCCAGTCGTCCTGAACCAAGGACTGGCGATCTTTTAAAAGATCGGATTGGATCACAGTCCAGGACCGATTAGAATTATATCGGATGGATCGAATATACCAGGAACGAAGTGCATGGTTATATGGTAAGTGAAAGAGTGTATCCGAATTCATGAATCTTTTGCGTTTTAATGTAGTTTTGTTGTGTCAGTTCTTTCTGACAGGACATGCGTACGTATGTACGTGCAGTTTCGTACGGATTTTACTCATGCACTACATACCGAACAAATATTATAATATGAAAATATTGTCTTTATTTGCGTTAATAATTATTATTATTACCTATTATTATTACAAACTCCAAACTATTAGTTTATTGATTGTTTTATTGTATAAAAGCTACCTCTAAACAAATATTCAAACCCGTCTATTTTTATTAGAACTAGTAATGGCATGCGCCCGAATTTTGAAAAGCTTGCATATGATTTTTGTAAGCATATGTATCTAATTCTTAAAAAACCTGTTATTATAATAAAAAGAGATTAGATAAGAAAAAAACCGATTTAAAATTTTTTAAATTTATTATCGTTGTATAAGCCCCTAAAATTAACTTCGTACTGTATATTCTTATAATAAATTACCATCCATCACGAGTGCCCTGTACATTTTGACTAATCATTTTTTCATGTAAAAATGAGGCACAACTTACATTCTTAATTTATTTCGAATTACCAATTTTAAAAATATGAGTTTCATGGCTATGAGAGTAAATCTGAGTATCCTCCAAGGCGTATAAAATGTCAGTGATGGTCATAAATTTGAATATTTTATGCCATTTACTGGTGATCAAATTCGTACAGCAAGAGTATAAAATGTATAAAATACCTAATGGCAGATCGTACGGAATGGTTTTCAAAATAATTTTAGAAGATCTGGATAGTTGAATGACCAAATTATATGGTAAGAGAATGTAAATACCTATTTTAAAAACTATACCATACTAACCTAATCATCTATACCATACTGAGCTCGTTTATCAATATTGTATGAAGATGCATAATTTGTGAAATTTGTAAATCGAAAAAAAAGATATCACTACGAATTACTTGATCAGCCGTAGATCTCCGGTCATATAAGGGCCATTCGGGCCCTAATATAGCCGGAAATTTACCTCTAATTCCCGTCGTTGCGAAAAATTAACAGTACATATTAAGCATATTTTATTAGACTAATTATCCACTTAATATTAAATACTTTTCCGTTCCTGGTTTTGCGTGATGACGTCGCGCAGCTATCTTATTCAAGATATTCTCAGGCAGCTTCCCAAATACGATTTGAATTGAATATATGCTTCCAGGTACTTTATACGTCAATTTACTTGATTTGTAGTGTTATTCATACATGTTAGCGTAACTTAAACTGCTACCGCATAAAGTCCTCTGTCTCATGATTTTAAACCAGGATAGGCATAATGCTAAAAACAAAATAAACATCCAAGTTTTTTTTCAAAAATTGCCAATAATTCCAAATTTCGCCTATAAAACCACCTGCGTCTTGACAAAAAAAAAATACCTGCGAGATTTGCTAGGTATCCTTTCTAATGCCGTCCCAATGCACATCCTTAGTGAACTATTAAGACTGATGGTCCTCTCGATCCATCCTAAAGTGGACTGCCGGTGTCACGGGAATTTTTGTTAGTGTGTAATCATTGCATCATAATCGTACGATGGGAATACCCATGATTACATTTTATTATAATAATTCGTTAATAGATTATTACTACATTTCTTTGATTAATAATAAATCGGGAATGTTGTAAATATATAAAAGCAGCTCTTTAATAAAGTGGGAAGGGAGATAGTTCGATAGATAGTGAATTAGGGTAGCTGCGCAGCGCGTGGTGCTTGCGCAGGACCAGTACGATCCTATATGTACTTGCTTGTTCGTGGATTTTGATCGGGTAGGTTGTTAAGTTCGATGTTTGTTGTCAAGTTTATATGTTTATTGGTTGATTGTTGTTTAATTGGTATTTGTTCTATCTTTTTTCTTTCGAAGTTCTATGAATTTTTGTTAATAAATTATGTTGATTTTATATAGTCTGGCGTTTCGTGTGAATGGATTTTCATCGTTTTTACATTTTATGTTATTGCGAATTATAAGAAGCATTATTACCATTTAAAATTTTATCCGGAGTAAATTTTTATAAATGTTTGTATTTAAAATTACTCTACAAGAAGTCTGGTTCGCTTTATTTATTTATTTATTTATTTTATATTCAAAAAAGTTATGTTTACACTCGATGGTATTATAACGTATTCTTTATCACATTTAAACTCCGGTTTGATGTTCGTAATCGATCAAATATAATCATTATGATTATATATTATGTTACAGGTATAGTCTTCGGTTATATTACATCAATATTATTTACACGATCATAGTGTTCACATATAATAATCGATACGTACGATTTTTTAAATTAATTCATAATGGTCAAAGTGTTGTTAGTGATCATATGTTATGTTCAAGTATAGTTTTAATAATCGTCATATCTATAACATTCAATTTATTTATAAGCTTAATACTTTCACTACTACGTTATTTTGAAAATGTTATTTGTTATAAATTTACTATGAACGTTGGTATCTTAATTTATCTTAATAAAAAGTCTCTCCTTGTATATTACATACGATCAGTATATGATGTTTCATTGTCGCATCTTTTACTTCATTAAATTCTGGTTTTATGTACACATATTAATTAATAGGAGTTGACAAAAGTCAACTATTCGAAAAAAGGGGCAGAGCATTATTGTGTGACCGAAGCCACTCACATGTTTCACTAACCCCGTTCATGCATACCACCCAAATGCTGTGCACATGATACGGCACATCCAATCAAACACCAGCGAACCTCACAGAGCATTAACGATCATTAAATAAATAAATAACCAGCATTCGCTAATCAATTTCTAAACAACAATTTCCAATTTGAAAATTTTCCTGCTTTCTTCGCGAACATGAACGAAGTCAACAATCCTACAAACAACAATCAACCGTCAGACACAAATACAAACGTCCCGTTACCTACTACAATAGATATAACCCAAATCAACAGTAACACAAGGGTGTACATAGATAACGCATGCCAAGAATCAGCTAACGTGATAATCTCAACTATTAAAGCATATATCAATCAAAATATGGCAACACAATTGAACCTAATTAACAAATTGAACGAGAGATTAGATTTATGTTTCAACCAACTCAACAGTACAGGACAAACTCATCAATCCAGCAGCACTAACTTTCAACAAGATGAGACTACACCTACCAAACACAACCACAATTTTGCATCATCATCTGCTTCTAACAAAGGAAGAAACAATAACGACACTAACCCAAATCAGCAAGGTAATTGCCCCCTAACTCCTATTCTTAATAACTTTATAATTAGCTCTTCCTCCCATGGCGAAACCCAAGGTACCTCTTGCACTGTGACTATCGCAAAGGGCATTCTGAATGCCAAAGCAACTACAGTCGGTACTGTCTAATTGCATACTATCCGTAGATAATTTTTTTATGCATATAGGCAATATATGCATTTAAATCATAAGAACCATTTTTGCGTTAATAATTAAAAATCAAATTTTTTATGCATTTAGAGAGTATATGCAATTAGACAGTATGCAATTAGACAGTATCAACTGTACACGTAGATACCCATCTTTCGAGTACAAATCCAGTGACCTTCCCCAGTAGATGGTTTCAAGAACCCACAAGCAGCAACTACAGAAAGAATTTGTCTTTGGTGGATTCTTAACTTGCATGAAGGCCAGAAAGTAATCGAAATGCTGCCTAACAAACCCAATTTGCCATCATGATTATGAAAAGCAATTGTCGTGGGATCATATATTGACTTACACGAGTTCACACACAAAATCCTCAAAGCCAATTTAAAGAATAATGAAGATGAACAAACCTTGCAAACCACGGAAGGTGGAATTATCACAGTAAGAAAACACAACTGTCACCAAAAGTTTTCTGACATAGCTGATTGGTTCCTTGCATTCAGAGCATACATGGAGGCTGTCTTGATCATATACGAAGTTAGAGAAAATGAATTTAACGCGTATCAAGATCATATTAATACTTTGTGCGTAAAACACAAATTTGAAGCAGTGGCAGCCTACGACGAAGACTGCAGGCTATTCCTTACCACAAACTGTGATTCAACTTTACTCGATTGCAACATAGAAGCAGAAGGAGACAATTTCGATGTTACTACAACAAAAAAGCACTGTAACAACGTTGCGCCTTGCACTTTTAAAAATGACATCAATTGGCACAACAGAAGACAAATTTGCATTAACTGGAACTGCAAAGGGTGCCTCAAAGATGCTAATTGCAAACGTGTTCACGCCTGCCTCACCTGCAGAAAACTCGGCCACCCCGAATGAAAGTGTTTATACAACAAGCCCAACCTACCCAAAAACTTTGCCTTTCAAAACCAAGGCACGAACAAATAAAAAAAAAAAAAAAAAAACAAAGACATCACATTTTCAACTAACTGAAGGATTTAGCATCAACAAAAAGAGAGAAATGAATATTAGCACAGGATTGTATACTTAAATATAAAAAAAAAAAACACACACATAAACACACAATAAAAGCATACATATACAAAAAAAAAAAAAAAAAACATACGAATGAACACCACATATGCAAGCTGAATATATGCATATGTACACGATAATAAATATAGCATATATATAATATGATAGAACAATAATACTATAATAGCAATGTACTAAAATGCAAAAAAAAAAGATAGAACAAGTCCGGGAAGAGGGTACATCAATTTATTTACCCGCACATACAATTAAGACAATGAGCTATAACAATCTTACGACATTCAATACCAACAAATTTTTCAAAAAAAAAAAAAAACAACAAATACAATTCTTTATATATAAAATAATAATAATAATAATAATAATAAATAATATCATTCTAATTTTGGACAACTCTTCCCGAAAATCACCTGGACCAAAATTTTCCGCTAAAGAAAAACCAAAACTACTTGTTGGAGAGTTGTGGCCAGAACAGTGGTTTGTCTAGAGGTCAACTACTACTCTTGGGGACTCCTCTAAAAGAAAGGACATTTGGTATGCAAACCAGGAGCGTTATTATACAAGATAACTGGCAGGTGGTACCCTTGTATAAAAAATCTTAGTGGAGTATGGGTGGGGAGGCTCAACTCCATTGACAAAGCTGTTAGGCCATTATTTCAATGAAGAACACAGAGGAAACAACAAGAAGCTCTGCTTTTTCAACACACTTTTTTTGAAAATTTTGAAAGTACTTGCAACTCTCTTCTCTTATTTTCGGTTTTCTTCAGTTTTTCAAAAAAATTTTTTCAAAAAGTGGGGATTTGGCTTACCCCCTCCAAAAGATCAATAGTGTTTACATTCCTAATTCGGATAGCCAAGTAGATTACAACCACGTGTTTGATGGATATGGTACTACTAATTTGGACAGGTCTCAGATTCTAATAGCGGTGGCTTGAGATACAGATCTATGGACAGCTGCAGCACCTGGCTCGAGATACAGATTAGGTTGGAACCAAATATTCCGAAGTCAGTCATACAGTTGGAAAAAAACAATAACGTTAAGGTGAAGCTTTACAATAGAGATATACAAATGTTGTATTTGTTATATAATTTTTATACTTGCCTGGCATGGGTTATAATAGTGTACTCTTTTTTTTCTTTTTTGTATTCATTTTTGTGCTATTTCTTGATAGAGGTAGCTGCTATTCCTCTCGAGGGATGGCTTTTTCTTGTTCAGCCTGTCAGGGCTTATCTCTTTGTTTTTTCTTTTTTTACATTTTCTGTTTTCTCCATTTCTATTTCTTTTTATTTTCCCTTTCTTGTTTAGTTTCTTTTTTGTTTGTAAATTTCTTTTCTTCTTGATATACATTCCAGTATTGAGAATATGGAACATTATTTTCTTTTGCTCTCAGTAAAGAAAGTAAGGATGAAGGGATAAGCTCTTGGCAGGCTGACAAGGTCTTCTAACTTACCTGTAGGTTGGTGCGACATGTCGCTCTTGGGCACACTAGATGCAGCTGGGAGATGTTGGGCTTACAATTGTTATACTGTTTATTCATACCGTCCAAGTTTGTTTAATAAAGTATTGTATTTGAGCTCTGGCAAAACTGTCAAAGAGTAAAAAAAAAAAAATAAATAAATAAATAATATAATAATAAATTACAATAACAAATAAACAAAGACAACATAAGAGGAAACAGGACATCTTAAAGAAGAATTTCACTTCAGGCGCAGCAACACAATCAACTATCATTCTTATTTAAATGGCTAACTCATTTCTCTAATTCTCAATTACTATAGCAGTAACAAAACAAGACAACCATGCTTTCAAACATGCAGCACAATTCACCCTTTCACAGCATATCACAGCAATTGAACCACTCATCCTACAATTAGTGAACGAAACTCTACATGCTATCCCACTCCCAGAACTCCCTATGACAGATATCGAGTTGAAGCTACTTCAACAACTCGACCAAAAGCATTTCAACGTTCAATCTCCAATAAACCTTAGAGCCCTACAACTACTTACCTGCACACATCCTAACTAACTTTTTATTGAATATATCATCAAGGGCATCAAGCAAGAATTCAGATTTAACTTCAGAGACAGTCAGACCAAACTAATTCAAGGAAACCTACCTTCTATTTACACTGCTCCCTAGGCTTTCACACTATACATCACCAACGAACTCGCAAACAATCGAAAATGTGGGCCTTTTGACGAAAGCAACCTCCATGCGAACTTTTTCAGACCAACTCTTGCGGCTTAGTAAAAAAGAAACATACAAACCCCACGGCATACCGTGTTATATTACACCTCTCTTCACTACCAGCCAACAGCATTAATGACAAGATAGATAAACTCGAATTTGTCACCAAATACGAGAATGTAAACCACACTATTTGGTGGATCAATCACTTCGGAAAAGGATGCACTCTTTCAAAAGTAGACATTAAAGACGCATACTGAATCCTCCTGGTTCACTCTATTAATCAAATTTTACAAGGAATCAGTAATAGAGACAAAATTTATTTCAACAAGGTTCTAGCCTTTGGCAACCAGGCCTCTGAAGAAATTTTTTGCTGTTTTGCTGATATAATCGCATGGATAGTAAATTAACAGAGTATCTCCGCCACAATTCACTACGTAGACGATTTCCTTCTCATCTCCATTTCAAATAGGTCACAGGAGCTTAGACAATTCTTATACAACCTGAATATTTTAAATATTTTCTACAAGCAAGAAAAAATGGAAGGCCCTTGCACACAAGTCACATTTTTAGAAGTAACATTAGATACAATTGCCATGACGGTCTCAATTCCTATTGACAGAAAGAAAAACTTACTACCTTAATAAATCAATGGCTAAACAAGAAGTGGTGTTTTTACAAAGAACTCCAGTCAATTGCAGGATCTCTTATATGGACCTGCCAAATAATCCCTCAAGGACATCCATTCGTCCAAAGGCTAATAAAAGCCCAGAATACTTCCCACAACCCCAAAGCCCACATCAGAATCACTAAATCTATGCAGTTCGACTTCCAATAGTGGCTCTCTGCCATTAACAATTGGACAGGAATACACCTTCTCCAAGACCAAGAATGGAGTCTCCCCAACACTTTGAACCTTTTTACAGACGCATCTAATATTGGAGGAGGTGCCATATATCAAAATTTTTTCACCACTATCTCTTGGTCCAAAGAAATCAATTTAAACAGAACAAACATTCAGACCTGTGAACTCCTAGCAACACTAATTGCAGTACGCACCTTTTCTCCCCTAAGGGAACGAAAAAGACTCATAATTTGGACAGACAACTTACCAAATGCTGAAGCATACTACTCTGGTTATTGCAAAAACCCAGAAATAAATAAATTAATAGCACAATTATACAACATACAAATACAAAGAAACTTCGGTATAAAACTCGAGCACATACCAGGCATTCAGAATATAAATGCTGATTTGCTTTCCTGCAATGGTCATCAACAATTCATTAAAGACAACCCTCAATTACGCTACCTACACACAAAAAATTAATATTTTTTATTCCTTCTCTTAAACAATAGCACCCAACATACAATTCCCCCTCACTACAACCCCTTTCAACCCAATACTAACAACATCAGCCTTTCACATCTCAACCAGCCCTCGACCAACAAGTAGCACAAATCCTCAATATCACAGCCCCACCAAACAAATCCTATGAAGCAATCATTAAACGATATGAAATTCTTGCTACAACCAACCGTTGAACAAACAGCAACAGATCAATCTGGCTAGTATTAACCAAGTCTCTGATCGAATACATTGCATTCCTTCACAAAAGTGTTGCACTCCCAACTATTGCAACTTACCTATTGGCACTTAAGTACTACCATAGCAGAAACCATCATGACTGGACAAAAACCCGCCTTGACCCCTTAGTTGTACAGCTTCTGAAAACCATCGAAGCAGCATATATACACAAACCAGTTAATCAAAAAGCCATATTACCAGACAACATCTATCTCAGATCAAAGGGCAACTCAATATAGACAACAATCTGAATCTCCTTTTCTGGACAATCGCTCTATCAGCCTTTTACGGTCTTGCACGTTTGGGGGAATTATTACCAAACACCCAGCTCGATTCCCACAAAGTTCCGTCCCTATGAGCACTCAAATTTGAAAAAACCAACGGCATCACTTTTGCCACAATTCAACTTACCCGAACCAAAAATCACAAATCAGCCCATCGTATGTCCCTAATTATAAACCCACTAACAACAGCTTATGCCCAATCTGCATCTTGAAATCATACACCATGCGTACACAATCAACCTATGCCAGCAATAATGACATGCTATTTGTCAAGAAAGACGGCACTTGGGCCACCAAACAATGGTTCATCACAAAGCTCAAACAATTTTTGCTCCACAAAAACATTGCAGGACACAGTTTCCACGCTGGTGGCACTACTGAACTGGTAACATGCAGTGTCTAGCTAATTCTGATACAAAAAATTGGCAAATAGGACTCTGAATCTTTCTACAGATATATCTGAAGCTACCTAGCCACCATAGCCTCTATTTTAACCAAAGCATATATCAATTGACCCAGGCATTATCACTTGGAACAAAGGTCTGTGTCAATCAACAACACATACAAAAAAAAAAAAATTAATACACACAAAAAAAAAATATATATATATATATATATATATATTCAACAAACATATAAAAAATATATATATACAATCATACCTCCAAATAATCACCCATTTTGTCTAGCACATTTTGGTGATTATATAGAGGGGTGATTAAATAGAATTACCTCTATATAATCACACAATATAAAATAATTAAAATAATGTGATTTTAAAAAGGTAAATAATAATAAATAATTTTTTTATTTACAAATTTTAAATTCTATTTTTTCTAAAACTTTGATCAAGGATATCTCAACAACTGTTTGATCAAATTTAATAAAAATTTTTTTATTTAAATTCTTGAGATCTATAGAATTTAAATAAAAAAATTTCATCAAATTTGATCAAGCGGTTGCTAAGATTTTCTTGATCAAAGTTTTGTTAAAAATTTTGGTGCAGCTTCTATTTGGTTTATTTGATAGACATTTTAAATTTTTTCTAATACTTTGATCAAGGATATCTCAACAACCGTTTGACAAATTTAATAAACTTTTTTTATTTAAATTCTTGAGATATATAGAATTTAAATAAAAAAATTTTCATCAAATTTGATCAAGCGGTCGCTGAGATATTCTTGATCAAAGTTTTGTTAAAAAGTTTGGTGCAGTTTCTATTTGGTTTATTTAATAGAGTTTAAATTTTTTTCCAAACTTTGATCAAGGATATCTCAACAACTATTTGATCAAATTTAGTAAACGTTTTTTTATTTGAATTCTTAAGAACTATAGAATTTAAATAAAAAAATTTTCATTAAATTTGATCAAGTAGTTGCTGAGATATTCTTGAGCAAAGTTTTGTTAAAAATTTTGGCGCAGCTTCTATTTGATAGATGGTTTAAATTTTTTTTAAAATTTTAATCAAGGATATCTCAATAACTGCTTGATTAAATTTAATAAAATTTTTTTATTTAAATTCTTGAGATCTGTAAATTTTAAATAAAAATTTTTTTAATTTGTGATTTTAAAGAGGTATTTTTATTAATGATTTAGTAAAAAAATTTTTTAAAAAAATATGATAGTGATAGTACTATGGTTGTGATTACATAAAGGTATTTTTATTATTAAAAGAAATAACTGTATAAAATTATGTGATTATATAGAGTTTGTGATTATATAGGAGGTGATTATATAGAGATATGACTGTATTACAAAAAAAAAAACAAAACAAAAAAAAAAACAAAAGAAAAAGTACAACAGACAAACGATACAAACAGAAGTTGGCCCATCCACAGCATAACATCACACAAACATGTATACAGACATATAGCTAAAAAAAAAAATAATAAAAAAAAAAAAGAGAGACACTCATTCTTCAATTAACATGATTCAATGCACCCTCAAAAAAAAAAAAAAAAAAACACAAACTAACCTTGCAATAAACAGCAAAATCATCTCAACAAGTGACATGAACCGAAATCCAGCAATAAGCAGGAAAACAACACAATTAATTCAACAACACCCCAACCCAGCCTCAGTTTTCGCTACAACAAGCCAATCCACCAACTGTCATTCTGAAACAAATCTACCGTATAAGCGTGAAATAATGCTCCCCTGCACGTTAATTGATTGATCTGTGCATTATTTCGAGTATGCACATGTACGTTATTTCAAAATAAGAACTGATTTTCAGAGCCAAATATTTTTAAAATAACGCGCATGCACCTGACCTAAATATCTATTATAGCAACTCCAATAAAGTTATTGTATGACCTTACATACCGGTATTACTAGTTTCATTTTATACTACAATAAAACTTTATACACTCACTTGCAGGTTTCACTCTAACACTCATGTATAAACTGGTAAAAAGCTAATGATTAAACATTGTTGATTATTTTTACGAACAATACTACAATTTGTTGATTTTCTCACAAAACTAAAATATCATTATAAAATAGTCTTGATTGAAACAATTACTGTTTAATTTTTTTTTTTTTAAACACCACTTTCTTTTCGATAGCAAAATATAAAGCCTTTGAATACTCCTAATTAACCTTGATAAAATATTCAGACATGGAGAATTGACCTTCTTTAGTATACGGCTCTGGGTCGTTATAGCTTTAATAGCTTGTAAATTAGTTTTACCGATTTTACTGATTTTTTTTTTCTTTTTTCTGTATCACAAAATCATCAACTATGAAATTATCCCAGATCTGTATTTAAATGAAAATGTTTATTTTTTTTTCACGATTAAACTTTAATTATGTAAACATGGACTCTTCTTCTTCTAAACGAAGTTATACTATTGTATTTAAGCTTGATATAATATTATATGCAGAAAATACATCTAACTATAAAGCATTATTGTTTTATAAAGTTGCACAGAAATGCATCCAAAAGTGGAAAAAACAAAAAAATAAATTTGAAGCGATCAGAAATGATCAAAGTATTAATATCAATCAAGTTCATGCTCTTAGTGGTCGTGGTAGAAAAGCCAAGTACCCTGAATTGGAGGAAAAATTGTTAGCTTATGTTCAAAATAAGCAACAAGAAAAAAATACAGTTACCACTTCCATGATCGAACGCAAGGCCAAAGAATTTGGAAAAAATTTAAATCTTGAAGACACTAAGTTCTCTCGTAGTTGGGTTGAACATTTTAAAAAACAACATAAATTAGTAGAACACACCAGAACACAAGTCACACAAAAGCTTCCAGAGGACATGCCTTTGGTCATTAAGGACTTTCTTAAAATATTGTATAAAAAAACAGTGAATATTGAAAAAAAATTTATTCTTTCCTTTGATGAAACACTGATGTGGTTTGACATGCTCTGAAATACAACAATCAATTTTGAAGGTGTTCATCAGGTGCCAATTAAAACTACAGAGAATGATAAATTGTGCTTTACAGTAGTCTTGGTTATACTGCATCTGGAGATAAACTTCTACCCACTGTAATTTTTAAATTAAAAAAATCCAAAAGGTAGATTTCTACGAGATGTTGTAGTAGCAATGGCGCCTTGCGCAAACATGGTGGGTGATTAGATGAAGTCTACATATATTCCACGTGTTATTCAAGCTATGACAAATGTATTCTTTAAAAATAAAGGAGTAATATTTGTTGATCGTTATCATAGTCATGTTCGAGATGATGTAGTTAAAGCATTTAATATGAAAGGCTTGGATTAGGATTCCGCAATTTGATTTGATTTGATTTGATTTGATCAAATATTTGATCTCAAATCAAATTCAAATACAGAAATTTCAA